CCGCATATCCGAAGACAAAGCCGAACATGTTCCGGTGACTTTTGGAGGTTGCTGAATGAGGCTGTGTCCAGTCCCTCAAACCGATCGCGAAACTTGACATTTCGTAGCACTGACTGGAATATTTTGGGTAGAGATTGAATAAAAGCTTTTCAGTCTAATGGTAAATGACAAGTCGTTCGGAATTGAGTTAGGAATTGATGTTTTCCATCCTTCATGATTGTGCAATGAACTAGTAATGCTTGGGGCCGGCGGGTTCGTCGAGGGTCATTCTGTCCTGTTCAATTAATTAGCCCTAAGATTATACCCCCGGTGGAAGTGGGGGGGGGGGGCGTGGCTAAACAATGTTTTATACGGGGAGGTTCCCCCCACTAGGCCTAAATCCTTACAAATTTATCGTTGAAGGAGCTCGTCGCGTTTGTTTAGGATTGGGGCCTCCCCTTATAAATTTCAATGTTACTTAATTCTTTGCACCATACATTTAATAACCATAAATCTTACAGAAAGTCGAATTTCCTTGAGTACCGGCTGTCCCTCGCGCCTTCTTGCTTTCGCGGTCGACTTGTGGCAAGTCTAGGACTTCAATAACACAATGCACCTTGTTTATTACTATTGTTTTAGGTTGAAAAGTATGCCAATGATAGCCTAAACTGGCATGAGGGAATGAAAGTGAGATGGGTCGGAGCTATATTAGACGCAATGAATGAAATTCAGAGGAACTTGTCAAAGCTCGCAACACCTTATGTACTTGTCCATGGCGGTCACGGATGGAGATCAATTAGTGAAGATTGACGGTTCACGATACTTACATGAGAATTCTCCCAGTAACGACAAGACATTTTAAGGTACACGAATGAACCGCTTTACTGACAGCACTGAGCGAACTGATAGCCTCTCTATGGGTATTTCAGACGAATAGTTAGGGCGCTTGACGGTATATCATAAGAGAAGGAAGAGGCGGTCTTAAATCGGCGTTTGTTCCTGCCCGGGGTAGGAGTTTCGGCTGCTTTGTTCCAAGCGTAATTAGAGTGAACTTATCCCAACAGCAGTCGTGATTTTTCTAAACCCTTTTAACCCCAAGAGTGACCAATATCTATTTTCTCCTAACAATGTCACCACATTTTCAAGGGAAAAGGCTATGATAATTTTTAAAATAATCACCAAAGAGGAACTTCTCGTCTCCAAACGGGTGTCTAAAGAATAATATAGAGTTTTCCCTCTTCGGCCAATTTTCCTTCCCGTTGTCATTTTTAAATCGACCTGTTATTATTTCATTATTAACACAACTGCTTGTAAAACTTGCTTTGCAGGTGTGCAAAAATGGACGCCATGAACTGTTGAATGAGGTGGCGAGCGTGGTTTACAAGGATATTCTTGACTGGATTCAGCAAAAGCTACCTTGAACTGTTTTAGGGCCACGTGCACACGAATCCAGACTAATTTTTGAAACTGCATAACTTTTTACCCGGATTCGTGTAGACGAGGCCTTAAACCACACATTAGGCTGACTTAGCAATAGAACGGGAACGTCAGTTGACGACGAAGCGCGCAAATCAAACAAATCAGTCCTTTCCCTGCGCTTTCCCGTCGTCAACGCTCCCGTTCTGTTGCTAAATCAGCCTAATGTTTCGGTGAGAGGATTCATTGGTTTCATGTGTGGACGGAATACAAGACGGAAGGCCGATTCATGTGAAAAATATATATAAATGCGTTTTTAAAAATATCCGGATTTGTGTGGACGGGGCTTTTCACGATAGTGTCACTACAAATATGACCAGAATCATTTCGTTTCTTTTTTTTTTCATTTCTCTCATATTTAATTCGTTAAATTCAGAAGCCTTAATTTGCATGAGAAGGCCAAATTCTGAAGAATTCTAAAAAGGTGCCAGATTCCTTCAGGGTTTTGCTTTCTTGTGCAAATTAGGGCTTTTGTTTTTTAAACCTCAGTGGGATTACCAAATTTAAATATGAAAGAATTCCTTTAGTAGCAAAAACAAGCCATCGCGTAAATAGCCAATTAGGTCCCGTGGCCCCAGTCTATTCTGAACTGCTGCATTTTTCGGACTGGGAGGGTGACCCTTGATATAGGTTCAATAAACAAAACAATAACTCTGCACGTGCATGGCACGTGTTTGTAAATTTTTATTCGCCATCACTACGTTATATGGAGGACATAAGCACCCAAAGACAAGTTTCTTTTTCTCTATTTACACTTTGATGTCAGTGCTCTCTAAAACTTTATTTCCACGGAAAAATTAGCTACATTTGACCAACTTAGTCAATTAAGATAGCCTCCACGAATTTTAAAAGTATGCCAAATAGCTTTATAAATGACGTTCCGCTACCGTCGCCTCCCTAATGTCAGGCGTATTAATCTCGAGCAACTGACGTTCATTCAGGGTCAATCTCTGTAATTTTAACGCCATACGTTAGTAGTTATGTGTCACGTTAGGTTGTCTGCTTTGGGCTAGAAAAGGTACCGGGACGATCGAGAAACGTACCCCACGTGGTTTTGACCCCGGCGGGCTAAAATTCACCGGAGACCTCAGAGTCGAAAATACCGGTCACCTGGAGCGAAAGGCGACGGGGAGAAGAGATAGGCTGGGAACGAGATTGATTTACAGTTTGATGTTCCTAGATAATAATAGCCTGCGATCTTGCTCTCCCTAAAAAAAACGTAAAACGCCCATTCAAAAAAAGACGATGAAACATGAGAAAGTATAGCTTTACACTATTTCCTTGTTTCTGTTTTCGTCTTTTGTGGCTATGGTTTGTATTTTTGGATTCTGTTTCAGTTTTGCGGTTTAATTTTGTATTTTTTTTAAGTGTGTTTCCTGTTGGGGATGCTTATTTCCGTTTGGGCATTTGTGTTTCTGTTTTCTGGTAGTGTTTTTCTGTTTTGGGTTTCCCATTTTGTCTTATGTGTTTCTGTTTTGGGTTTGTTCTCTCCTATTTTTGTTGTTGTTGTTGATGTCTTGTGGTTTTTTGTTTCTATCGGCCACCCTATATATTTGATGGTCCTCTGCATTTAAATCCAACCACTGGAGAACACTTCAAAACTCCGTTGAAAATTTCTTCACAGAGATCAAATCGTTCAGGTAAGAAATAATCTCCTTTAACTTGGAATTTTTCTTATCAGATATTTCTGCAAGGTTTATTTTGATCTCCTGCTGTAGTTTTTTTTTCCCTCTCATTTTTACTTAGAAATAATTAATAATAAGTTTAGACCGGTTGGCGACCACGAAGCAAAGTATGTTTGTTCCATGTTAAGCAAAACGTCTGACTAGAATATTGTTTTGACCGATTTGTGTTTCTCTACCTTCGTTGTCTCCCTTTTCCGCTACTCTCTTCCACTTCCTTTCCACCCCTCCCCCGCCTCCAAACCCCCACCCCTACCCTTCCTCACACAAGAAACGCCGGATATTCAGGATAATTTGTGTTAAATGTGGATCTCTCATGTTGTAGACGTCACAGATTTATAATAATTTTCATTTTTATTACAATAGCTAACGAAGAAAGACCTGCTTAGTGCATAAATTTGTGAAACTAAGTCTTCCATCGATTAATAAGAAATTGAGGTCACGAACTTATTTGGTCAAGACATATTTCCTCGAACAGCTGCCTTTTAAATTTTTCAATGTTCATTGGGACTATGTGAATTGTACTGCCAGAAAGGTTTTCAGGAAAATTACTATTTATAAGTTAAATCGCTTCTATTTCTGCTCTATGTAAGGCAAACAATTTAAAATTTGTTGTGGTTTTCTAGTTTGTGGTCTCTCCGAAATTTGCATGTAATGTTATTGTCGCCGGGCAGAGGACTCATTTTTTGAACTTTGACTTATTATTATAAAAACACAACACAATAAAAAACGTAAGAAGGATCAATTAAAACACGCGACTAATAAACGCTCACAATAAAACCAGATACGAGATACAGTTTTAAAAACTTTATTGAAAACCAATGACACACACCGATTTGAAAGGAATGAAAAATTAATCCTCTTCTTCGTTCTCCTCTTTAGAGGGGCAATTGGTTTCCAACGTCTTCGCTTTTTTGTGTGTAATTGCTCCACAATCGTGACACCGAAGAAAGCCCTCTTTGATGTAATTTCTCTCCTTGGGGATCTGGTGATCGCATATCGGACAAATCTTGTAGTAATCGTGCCAAAAGCAGTTAGGACATTTCATGATCAATGTTCCGTACACTTCAGTATTCTCACAATGTTCTATTTTCTGTTTCCTGACTGGTCGTTTTCAGTGTCGTTGTAGCTCTCTTGGGGGTCAACTTCAACACCATTCTCAGAAGCCACTTCCTCCTCCTCCTCCTCATCCTCCCCCTCCTAATTTTAAATATCCAATGAACTCTCCTCATTATTACTCTCGTTATCGGAAGTATTTTCTGCATTTCGGTAGCCTTTTTCCTTTTCTATTAAATCGCTTAGTAACTTTTTGTTCTTGATTAAACCTTTATCGACTCCTAACTCTGCAAGTCCATCTAGAAACGTATTCAGCGCACGAGGCTTGGTAACGTCATTGTTGTGTGGGGGTAGCACATACTCAACAAGCTCGGCGATGTTTGTGACAGGAATTATATGTTTATTTCGAAGTAATTGTCCGCGGGGAGTCCAGAAATATCGTCTTATAACACCAATATTCAAAAAATTGTCAAAACAATTCCGGATAAGCGTCAGTTCGAGTAAATCTAGGGAGGAAGGAGTGGAAAGTTCTGTCATGTCTTATCTGTCTAATGGGAACATACAGTGTATTCTAAAACTTCAAATGTATTAATGAAAATTATTTTTGTTTTACTCCACCTCAACGCTCCTCAAAGAGACCTTAATGCCAAGAAACAGTTCCGCTTTGAATACTAAAACTTGGAAATGGCAGAAAGAATACTACAAGATATAGCTGAACAAAACAAGCGTCTTACAATAGCGCAAATCAATAAAAACACGGAAGAGAAAGCAGAAGCCTACTACAATCTAGGCAGAGCTTATTGCTTCCTCGAGGACTTCCATCGAGCAATAGAGTACCTCAAGCAATACTTGAGCATTGCTGATGAAGTCGGTGATAGAGCAGGTGCAGGACGTGCCTATTGCCAGCTCGGCTGCGCTTACAATTCCCTCGGTGACTCCCAAAGAGCAATAGAGTACTACAATCAACACCTCAGGATTGCCAAGGAAGTTGATGACAGGGCAGGTGAAAGATGTGCCTATGGCAATCTCGGCCTTGCTTATCACAACCTTAATGAATTCCAAAGAGCAATAGAGTACTTCAATAAATGCCTCATCATTGCCAAGGAAGTTGGTGACAGGGCACTGCAAGGCAACGCCTATGCCGATCTCGGTCGTGCTTATCACAACCTTAAAGAATTCCAAAGAGCAATAGAGTACACCAATAAATGCCTCATCATTGCCAAGGAAGTTGGTGACAGGGAATGTCAAGGCAAAGCCTATAGAAATCTCGGCGCTACTTATCACAACCTTAATGAATTCCAAAGAGCAATAGAGTACACCAATAAATACCTCACCATTGCCAAGGAAGTTAATGACAGGGAAGGGCAAGGCAAAGCCTATAGAAATCTCGGCGCTACTTATCACAACCTTAATGAATTCCAAAGAGCAATAGAGTACACCAATAAATACCTCACCATTGCCAAGGAAGTTAATGACAGGGAAGGGCAAGGCAAAGCCTATAGAAATCTCGGCGCTACTTATCACAACCTTAATGAATTCCAAAGAGCAATAGAGTACTTCAATAAATGCCTCATCATTGCCAAGGAAGTTGGTGACAGGGCAGGGCAAGGCAACGCCTATGCCGATCTCGGTCGTGCTTATCACAGCCTTAAAGAATTCCAAAGAGCAATAGAGTACCACAATCAACACCTCATCATTGCCCAGGAAGTTGGTGACAGGGCAGGTGAAGGCAAAGCCTATGGCAATCTCGGCGATGCTTATCACGACCTTAAAGAATTCCAAAGAGCAATAGAGTACTTCAATAAATGCCTCATCATTGCCAAGGAAGTTGGTGACAAGAAAGAGGAAGGCGAAGCCTATGGCAATCTCGGTGGTACTAATCACAACATGAATGAATTCCAAAGAGCAATAGAGTACAACAATAAATACCTCATTATTGCCAAGGAAGTTGGTGACAAGGAATGTCAAGGCAAAGCCTATAGAAATCTCGGCGCTACTTATCACAACCTTAATGAATTCCAAAGAGCAATAGAGTACAACAATAAATACCTCACCATTGCCAAGGAAGTTAATGACAGGGAAGGGCAAGGCAAAGCCTATAGAAATCTCGGCGCTACTTATCACATCCTTAATGAATTCCAAAGAGCAATAGAGTACACCAATAAATACCTCACCATTGCCAAGGAAGTTAATGACAGGGCAGGGCAAGGCACAGCCTATTCCACGCTCGGCAGTGCTTATCACAGCCTTAAAGAATTCCAAAGAGCAATAGAGTACTTCAATAAATGCCTCATCATTGCCAAGGAAGTTGGTGACAGGGCAGGGCAAGGCAACGCCTATGCCGATCTCGGTCGTGCTTATCACAGCCTTAAAGAATTCCAAAGAGCAATAGAGTACCACAATCAACACCTCATCATTGCCCAGGAAGTTGGTGACAGGGCAGGTGAAGGCAAAGCCTATGGCAATCTCGGTTGTGCTTATCACGACCTTACAGAATTCCAAAGAGCAATAGAGTACTTCAATAAATACCTCATCATTGCCAAGGAAGTTGGTGACAAGAAAGAGGAAGGCGAAGCCTATGGCAATCTCGGCGCTACTTATCCCAACCTTAATGAATTCCAAAGAGCAATAGAGTACAACAATAAATACCTCACCATTGCCAAGGAAGTTAATGACAGGGAAGGGCAAGGCAAAGCCTATAGAAATCTCGGCGCTACTTATCACATCCTTAATGAATTCCAAAGAGCAATAGAGTACGCCAATAAATACCTCACCATTGCCAAGGAAGTTAATGACAGGGAAGGGCAAGGCACAGCCTATTCCTTGCTCGGCACTGCTTATCACATCCTTAATGAATTGCAAAGAGCAATAGAGTACACCAATAAATACCTCACCATTGCCAAGGAAGTTAATGACAGGAAAGGGCAAGGCACAGCCTATAGAAATCTCGGCGCTACTTATCACAACCTTAATGAATTCCAAAGAGCAATGGAGTGCCACGTGAAACACCTGAGCATTGCCAAGGAAGTCGGTGACAGAGAAGGAAAAGGACATGCCTATTTAGACATCGGCGACGTTCATAAATCCCTCGGCGACGTGCCACGAGCAATGGAGTACTACAAGCAATGCCTGAGCAATGCCGAGGAAATCGGTGACAGGAGAGTACAAGGAAGAGTCTATTGCCGCCTAGGAATTTGTTATAAAAGCCTCCACAAATTAAAGGAAGCAATAGAGTGTTACAAGCAACACCTGAGTATTGCTGAGGAAATCGGTGATAGGATGGCAGAAGCATGTGCACATAAAGGGCTGGGTCACTCCTTTTGGGCATCACATTCTTTTAATGAGGCTTTAGAACATTTTAGATGCTGTGTTAAAATCGTTGACACTATTAGAGCCAATTCTATCTCAGAAGATCAATTGAAAATAAGTTTCTGTAAGCATCATCATTGTGGCTATACTCATTTATGGCAAGTTTTAGTAAATCTTCGAAGGCATGATGAGGCTTTATACGTTGCTGAGAGGGGACGAGCACAGGCTTTGCTTGATGCCTTAAAAGTAACTTATAGCCTTACATCACTTTCTCCCAGGTCAATTGAATCTGAAGAAGTAGTCAGATATATTTCAAAGAAGACCACAGTGTTAACAGTTTTTCTTGCCCTGGAACAGAACCTACTCAATATGTGGGTATTGCAAAAAGAAGGCAACCCTATCTATAGGCAGTTGGACTTAGGAGGAATTGGAAAAGAGCACGAAGATTCCTTTACTGTCCTTTTAGACACTGTTTTAAAAACCATTGGGGCTGGCAGAGGTATCAGGTGCGAAAATCGTTCAATGGATAAGATGAGTGATGACCAAAGTTCAACTACTCGAGATGATGATCAAACATCGGAGCCAATACAGGGGACCACCGACCTTTTACAGCCATTATATGATGTAGCTCTTGGTCCCATTGAAGACTTGCTTGATGGTGATGAACTAATTGTAGTTCCTGATGGCGCTTTGTCTAAAGCTCCTTGGGCAGCCCTGAGTGAAACTTTAAGGATTCGCACTGTTCCCTCACTGACAAGTTTGAAAGTCATCAGAGATTCTCCGAGTGAATACCACAGTAAAAGTGGAGCCCTATTTGTTGGAGATCCATGTTTGAAGAAAATTACAAATAAATGGGGGAACCCCATTTATAAGCAACTGAAGTACGCAAAAATGGAAGTGGAGATGATTGGAGAAATTCTAAAGAGTCAACCCTTAACAGGTGAAGATGCAACCAAAGAAGCGGTACTTCAGAGAATCAAGTCAGTGTCTTTGGTTCACATTGCAGCCCACGGAAGGCCGGAAACCGGAGAAATTGTTTTGGCCCCAGACCCCCGATGGAAATCCAAGCCTCTTAAGGAGGAGGACTATATTTTGAAAATGTCTGATATACAAGCTGTGAAGCTGAGAGCAAGGCTAGTTGTGCTAAGTTGCTGCCACAGTGGTCAAGGAGAGGTCTCGTCTGAGGGTGTGGTCGGTATGGCACGTGCTTTCTTGTTTGCTGGTGCTCGTTCCGTGCTGGCGACACTCTGGGCAATTGATGACGAAGCCACAATGATGTTTATGAAATCTTTCTACCAACAACTTGGAAATGGAGAAAGTGCAAGTGTTGCTCTTCAGAGAGCCATGAAATGTCTTCGAGACTCCCACGATTATTCTGCCCCAAAGTACTGGGCTCCTTTTGTTCTGATTGGGGATGACGTTAAGATTGAATTGGAAGAAGAGTCATTGAGCAAGTCGTAAGTGGATATATTTTTTTTCGTGCTGTTCTAGTAACAAAAGGCTTAAGAAGAAAAGCTAGAACCATTCTTGTCAAATTTTGTTAAAAGGAAAATGACAGACTTGATAATAAAAAGAATAAAAATATGTATAAAGTAAGGATGGGTTGGGTGGTAAGTGTTAAATTATTATGGATTCACTCAGGTAAATGCTATTCCTAACGGGCTACCAACAAATTTCAAAAATCAATTGAACACTAGGCATTGCTTAATGTTCTCAATTGTTAAATAGCTTAGGTCAGGTGTGGATAAAAGATACATAGGGAATAAGTTTCCTTCATTTTTCTACAGAACTAGCACTATATGTAGAGAAATTCATAGCTTCAAAACGAACAAATATGTCTAACATGTTAAATGTTTTTCATTTTGCTATTTTTCATATCATTATCCATGGCATCCTAAAATTTAACGCTTTGACCTTTATTTTGTTTTGAAATGAAAGATTAATTAATGTATCAATTGTTACTTTCTTTACAGGGATGCGTTGAAAGTTTGATGTCAACACAACTGCTGAAGTAGCGTGTATATATCTGGATTTCCCCAAAGAAAGAAGTGCGTTATTTAATAGCTGTCCTCAATGGGGCGTTTGGTAAAAAAGCGTGTTTTCATTTTAGTCATTTTTTGTCAGAAGATATTGAATAGAGAGATTTATAGTCACGCTAACGGCAAATGGCAAACGTCTACAGATTCAAGTTGAGAATTTCTCAAAATAGAAAATATGCAGATAAAATGAAAACAACTCAAAGCAATTCTTATGGATAAAACTAACTTGAAACTAACAATTTTTTGTAGATTTATTTAACAGCAAACGAGAAAGCTCGAGAGGTAAAGGGAATACTTATTTACGTGGTACAAATCCACGGTTTGCCGTAAACGAAACTCTAAATCTCCCTAATTAATAACTTCAAAAAAAAAACGTTGTAAATCAAAGGGAATACTGTATACTGTGGAGCTCTATATTAGCCACGGCTACACTTATCAATTTTAACTTAGGAAAAAGACAAACAATTTTCGTGGGGAAAGAACTTAACGTTGTCCTGAAACTGACTGAATAGTAGTACACATGATTGCCCCTTTTCTCGTGTAACCTACCTTAACCGGCAAATTGTAATTTGGCAAAGGAAAATTGCATTGTAATAATTGTAATATTGATGATAATCATCATCATCATCATCATAATCTTAATAATTCCTTTTCATTTTTTCCCCTCGGCTTTAAAGCAAATGACTGAAACAAATAATTCAAATTAATTTAACAGGGTTAACCCTCAGAGGTACACGCAGATTCATACCCCAGCGTGGTATAAGGGGGAGGGGTGGATTTAACCCCTCTCCAGAGTTCTTGATCATAATAATTTTAACTTCAGTGGAAAGCCTTTGATCTACTCAACAAGATGAGGTTTATTTTTAATGGGTGGTGGCGCTGCTGGAGGCCTGTGACGTCACCAACAATGGTCGCCATCTTGAATCTCACCAAGAATTAGAAATCAGGTTAAAATCGCGATAAATGATAATTCTCTGTCCTTCACGTGTAAAATAACATTTAAATAAGCCCTTTACATCATTTCATTGACAGGTTTTTCTTTTATTGTTGAAAAAAGTTGAAAGAACATGCATTTTCACTTAAAAATGGCTTGACCGCCTGCTACTTAAGACGTCATATGTCGTAACCATAGTAACTGACCATCTCTAAACTTGTCTCAAAATGCGCGGGAGGGATAAACAAACAGCTTCTGAAAACGTCAGCTGCTGATGTTTTATCGTCTAAAAAAAAAAGTCAGGGGTTGGGGTGTTTGTCCGAGGGTTAAGAATCCCAAGTCTCCTAACGGGACGACGGAGACGAACCTATTAACTATATACAAGCGTGGCGATGGTTTCACTAGGGTGATTCAGATTTTAATCATATAATTTTAAAAATTTTGCGTATGCACTGTAGGTATTTTGTGCATTCATTTGTGGTTTAAGGTCTGGGTTAAAAGGGTGTATTACGTTTTGTATGATTGATCCCCGGTTTCCCAGCTGAACTAGTTATATTTTTTAAACAAAAAAATTAATATGCTCTTGTCTTGTTGATCCTTAATGTATAAATTGGTGGACAGTAAAAAATGCAGACTGCAGACTGAATGCAGACCATTGTTTTCAGGGTTAGGAAACAATGGGACTATCAGTACGTTATCAGTGGCTTCATAGCTTAGTTGGTTAGAGCGTCACACCTGTATCGCGAGGTCATGGGTTCAAATACCGTTGAAGTCCTGATTTTTTTTTTCAGGCTTCTTACGCAATTGCATAAATTGCGTTCAAAACTGCAAGGATCATTCTTCATTTGATTTTATTCCCACAGTTCTCATATATGATTTATTTCATAAATGCATTTGTCAATGGGACTATTGTTGTCACGTTCCCATTTGCATGGTGAAAACAATGTTTTGCACTGAGAGTAGTCTGCAGTCTTCATTTTGTACTTATGTTATATTGGGACACACATTGTGTCACTTAATTAAAACTGCTTTTAAATTCAAGGAAAATGGGATTTCGGGGAGGAGTTTAACTTATATGGATAAATTATTAGCGTTTCATACAAAGAGTAAACATTTTGCCTTCCACGTTTGGGAATGAATATG